ATTAAAACTAATATTATTCAACTTAAATCACATGTTTTCAAGATAATTAAATGAAATTTACTAAAATGTAAACTTTAAAAATAATTTTAAGTTCGAAAAAAGTATTTAAAACCCACCTAATCAAGGTGATGCCATTGTTAAAAAAAAATATTTCATTGTATTAGTGTGAAGGAAGAAGTGAAATATCAAATCATTTCATGGATGTGTAAAGCATATGTTTATAACCATGATTTATAACCATGATACATTTACAGTAGATTGATAATTCTAGATCTGATATTATATTTAAATAATTAGGTATCAATGTCCGCTTATTCCGAAAAATCGTCATGTAACTTCTTGGAAAATTAAATTAGTGAATAATTTGATGAATTCTCCCTTTATGATATTCCAACAGTATCCACTTACAGTTAGTGTGACAACTTTTGACCTGTCTATGACAGACAATGCAAATCTCTTGATTCCGTTTTAGTTAACTTTGCAATAGAGAATACAAGTTTAATAACTAATACTCGTACAATCCATAATCAATGAATCGTACGACCCATAATCAACCGGTGTTATAATAAATAGCACTTTTGTTATTTTAATGGTATTTATAATTTGTTGGCTTTAAACTTTTAGCTTTAGCTCGGTTAAAAATGCAATTCAAAAATGTTATAATCGCCCAACATGGCCAGAAAATAATTTTTATGCGAAGTTGAACGGTAAGTGAAAGTTGTGTGTTGCGCGCACCAGATTTTTTTGTTTAATAACGACATTGATAGCAGCTATATCAAAGCAAATGTGTTATTACAAAATTCAAGACAATTTACTTACTGGCTGAGTATAAAAAAATAATTAAGTGATGCTCCTGGGACTGACAGGTGATGGAAGCCAACTTTCCCTTGGTTGACATTGTTTAAAGCTTAATTATCTCTTTTAGAAAAATCTGGTGCATGAGTTTCTATCTACGCCACAAGAATTAAAAATGTAAATATTCAAGAATGAAAACTTTGAATTGTATATATCGCATGAATCGGCATTCCTATTAGAATACACTTACAATACCGAATATAAAATTCTAATAAATTAAATATTTTATGGGATTACCGTAAAATGAAAATACAAATACACACACATTCGTGTGTGATGACATCTACAATACAATCCGTTAGTAGTGACAAAACTTCAGAATATTAACATTCAACAAAAATGTTTCAATTCAAAACAGCTTTGTGTAATTAGAATGACCATCACATTTGCAGAAGATGGAAGATTTTTATTGATCAAAATTCTATTTAAGCTCAAGTTTTATCTACTAAAATCTTCAAAGATTTCTGACAATCATTAATCTTCTATCACAAAGATGCAAGTAGTCTTAAGTTGTTTAAAAAAAAAACAGTCCTTCAAACATAACCAGTTTCAACTCAACCGTTCATTTCGTTTCTTTGCAATTGCTCTTATTATGGTTATTATTAGGCGATTACGATCAAATAATTCAACTCCGGCGGCTTAGCCTCACCTCGGTTGCCCGACCCCAAGGCCAAGGCCACTGTTATCGAGAATATATCTATCTATTCAAATGTACTCTATTTATCTAACGCATTAATTTACCTGATAGTTGATATCTTATCCATATCATTGTCCTACATGCATGTTAAAACATTTCTCCTTTGTTTAATAAATAATTTTAAATTACAATACAATACAATCTAACAGATTAAATTTTCTTTATAATGGATGAGAAACTTGAAATGTTAGACTGAAGGAATAAAAAATTACCATGGAAGAGATTTTTTCAATTATAATTATCTAGAACATAATAACTCATCTTATTAAAAAGTAATAAATCATACCAAATAATAAAATATCATTTCTTGGCACAGCCATTCTTCACTAAACCCACCAAATACTACTTTACCGGAGTCTTTAAATAAACAAAAGATTACATTGAAATAACTATTTATAAAAAAATAAAATCTGCCAATTAATTTAAATATAGCTTCCTCACCGTTTTCATTGGCTAAAAAATATCTATGATACAAGGTCTGAAAATTTTCTTAATTCAGTAATCCCTCAACACGTACGGGTTTGATATCCACGAGTTTTGTTCATCAGCTAATACTATAATGCGAAACAGTTCCGCGTTTGCAGATTGTATATTTGATGATCCGTGATTAAAAAAACAAATCTAGTGCAAACCGAACGTGCATATCGCTACTGTCAGTGCGAAAATTGAGCGTTTTTACAGGAAAGCATAAAAACTAATAATTTCTTTATGGTTTATTAGGATAATTTCATATTTTATCGCCCTATGCTATTTTCCATAGTAGCGGACTACTTATATCAGTTGTAGGTCAACTACAATAGAAATAAACACAAATAAGACATTATTTTTTCGAACTCGGATTAAAAATTAATTTAAATTTACTGAAAATTACACAAACTGTAAGTAACGACAGTGTCATACCAGTAAAATTTGAATAGCCAAACAATACAGTATAAATTAACTTTTTGAATAAAACCTAAACTGTTACAACTCCATGAAATATTGTATTTACCTAACTCCTTCTCTATTTGATCAACATTTTCCACATTTCATAGTCATTATATTGTAAACAATTATTAATATTAATTTTAATTATTAAACGAAATTCAATAAAATTGATACTATGTAATTTCAATACTAATCTCCAAATTATTCCAAGTTTGTTGTGTCAATAATTGTGTCAAAACCAACGAGCCGTTTTCAAATTATAGGCGTGTCAAATGATACATTTCTTGATTTGAAAGCGGAAGTATTTTTTTGGGATTAGTGGCTAGAAGTTGATAAAATCCATATATACTTGTTTATCACATCGAACGTGCGGTTTTAGAGTTACAGACATATCAAGAAAAAAAATGTTTGCGCATATATAAGAGTAAGTACAGAACGAAATTCAATAAATTGATACTGCAATATTGTGTTTATATCTAACTTTTTTCCAACTTTGAGCCAAATCGATCGTGCCATTCCTGAAATATTGGCATATCTAAAAAAACACGTTTGCGCATGCTTAAGTGGAAATTCTAGATAGAATTTGATAAAATTTATTTAGGACCTTCTAGATACCAACCCGTACAATCCCTAAATATTTCATGAAAATAAAATAAACGGTAATAGGTAATGCGAACGTTACATTGATTTGATTTCAGAAATACACCGAACCAAATTTGATCCCTGATATTTGGACCGTAAAACGCGAGTAGAAATTTTCGATGCTGAGCATAAAATGTTTTTTAAACTCTCCCAAGAATACAATGCTTCCCTATCTTCCGTAGTGAGGAAGCAAAAATAGTAGACAAAAATAGAAATACAACGAACTTGAAACAAAATTAATATATTTTAAAATGAAACTTTTTTAATTTAACAATATTCATTTTTGTAATTCAAAATTCTTTTTACACGTATAAGATATTAAACACTTTTTTGGACCATTACAATGATTCATTATTGAAAATAATAAATCAAAAAGAATGTTATTTTTATGAATGAAATATGAGAAGCAATGATATTCAAAATTATTTTATTACTTAAAACTATTAATATAGCTACCAATAACTTTTTACTTCTTTTGAATATGAAAATTGATATATCTTGTAAAATCTTGATATACTAAAAACCATGTGTAACTGTAGAATTTCTAGAACTAGTAAGCTATTTAAATGGAAAAACATTCGTTATACGATTGATTGGATTAACAAAAAAAGTCTTGTATCAGCCTCCATCGATTACATCCGAGACAAAGAGAGCATATTTAATGTTTCTTTTAAACATGAAAATAAAATGTATCGTGACTTAATATTTGGTAAATTTCCCCGATTTTTTCATCTACCTTAAAATATTTTTTCATTATACCTAATACACAAGTCCTTACACCTATATAATGGTAGGATTCGATACATAATTTTTTACAGTGAAATGTCAATAATTCATTGTAACAAATGAAATACCTATTAAGGTCACATGAAATTATAATTATAATTTATTAAATCATACCTTTTTTTACTTTTAAATATCACACACTAGAAAAATTAAATAATAACAAAAGTAGTTCTACAGAACCGTAAAAAAAAAAAAGCAGTAGCAACGACCGTGACAGGACTCGAACCTGCAATCTTCGGATCCGAAGTCCGACGCCTTATCCATTAGGCCACACGGTCTTGACAGGAATGATACAAATTTCAATACTTCAACTACAGAAAATGTTGGACGATAATACATATGGCTTCTGTATGGATAGACATCATATAAATGTTTCACCATTAAGGCTATATTAAATAAAAAAAAGGAAACTAAATGGTTTCAAAATGGGAAATATAACTTAGATAAATATGTATGAATAATAAGTTTCATTCCTATAATTTGTGTATATGTAAAACGGATACAGCAGAGAAGGAATTATTGACAGGTCTTTATATTATTTCTCAACAATTTGTTAGCTAAAGGTTTCAGGCCAAGTCCCAGGGCACTAATTTTCAAAAGCAGTCAAATAACAAACAGTAAGATGAAAGAAATAAGTTTTAAAAATGAGTGGACAAGTGAAGTTTAAGCAGCCTTCTACTACTTCTATATATTTATTTTTTTAAAGATCTTTCAATAAACGCTTCTGTACATGCCAAGAAAGTGACTATTTCATAATACCCATAAGATAATCTGCATTCCTTTCTCTTAATCAAACGCTTACAGTTAAAATGAACACAACCATGAGACAAATTCATTCTGAAACTATAAGATTCAGTTGTTCCATTCTTTTTAACATACATCTGCGCATCGCACAGTCCCCATTTAACTTAAGAGATATGTTTGCTGACGATACGGTAGTTTAAACTCGTCACGAAGACATAATAGCAGCTATAAATACACTACAAAATCACTTCGAAGATTTAGAACAATAATATATGCATTACTAAATGGATGATCAGTCTAAATGTACAAAAATCAAATGCCTAAATGTTTACTAATTTAGTACACCTACCTTGTCTTTTTTCGATGTTTTCTTATAATTCAAGTTTGTTGTCTGAATCTGAGCTACTGATCGAACTCGTTGTCATTGGTGGTATCAAATACTTCAGCAATCGATACCTAAGAAGATTCTTTGCTTTTATTGCTAAGCCGCCGGTTTTTTTATTTCCTATATACTTAAAATGTTCTAAACTATAGAAAATAGTACCTACCAATCACTTTCTGTAAAATTATTTCCTCTTTCTCTTCTTTCCGACAGTTAACACACTATAATCATTGTAACATAACAGCAGACGTAAACATTAAACTTTACACACAACTGGATGGAAGGTTTCATATTATAACCGAAGTTCCTTACAGCCAACTATTCTTGGTAAAATAGGTCACAAAGAAGATGACGTCACACGGTAATTCTTATTAAGTAACACGGATTAAAAATTACTTGCAGGAGATCCTCCAGAACTGGCGCTCAACAGTAACAACTTGCCATAGATAATAATAATAAACCACTACTGAGACGTTTCTTTCAAAAATTAATATTCAAAAATTACAAACTCAGAAATTAACCGAAGATGATCTTTGGAACTTGACATCTCCCTCTTAGTTTTAAAATGGTAGGCAAAAAGTATGAGCCTGCTATAGATGTGTCTAAATGACTGTAATGATTTTGATGAAACTTGCCTAAGGTATTCTACTTGAAGTCCTTTAAATTTATGTTTATAGTGAACTTAGCCAAAATGAATCTGGATAAAAATTACAATGGGTGCAATAGCCTACCTTTAGGTGGTCAACGTGGATACTTTTTTTAAAGCTAACGAAATTTATTTTAAAAAATCGAAATTGTGCAGTTTGTTGCAGAGAAGTGGATTTTTTAACTATGTAATGTGTTCTAAGGCAAAGCCAATCTCTTTAGTTTTCTTTTTGATAAATCGAAAAGTATACATCAACAGAAGCACTCCAGATTTTTATTTTTAAAAACCTTGAATATCTATATTTCTTAACAACCAAGGAAATAAAAACTCTAAGTAGGCCAATATTAGCAAACAATATTATAAAAAATGTTCAAGTCTTTACAAAAGATGCAATAAATCAGTTACATTGATAGACTTATCAGTTTACTAATCATGATTTTATTTTTAGGCACGTTTTTAAATATGGATTTGGGTATATATAAAGGTTAATTTTTTTTAATTCTTCAATCTCTTACAAATTGATGAAAATTAATTATTCCCAATGTCATAAAGTTTGATATTTGAGGTGGAATAATTTCGATCACGTTTTCAGACGTTTCAGCCAATTGTGAGGCGTGCCTTAAGAACACATTTTGATCTAAATTGCATATAAACCTTTTTAAAGAAAAAAAAGAAGCCTTTTTTCTTTGTAATTTTTTCAGAGAGGATAAAAATGCACTCAATCATCGATAATATATAAAATTATTATATCTATCATTAATAGTACCAAGAAGGATACAGAGAAACGAGTTTATAATATAAATTTAATTTTGATTGCAGCATTGTTGCAATTTAATCAATACAATTACATTCCTCCAAGCGTTTACGGTTCTGCTTCAAACAAAACTTTAAAGATGTTGGATGTGATACTCAACTCTGCATTAAGAATTTGCACTGCGGTATTGTCAACGTTCTCTATGGGAAGTATATGTGCAGAACCTTTATATCAGAAGGTTATTTCTGACAATGAAGTATCTGCTTAAAATCAAGACAAATCCAAAGCACAGACTAAATAAACAATTTTCCTCTAGTGAGGAAGCGTGTAACAGGAGGGAGAAAAACTTCGTATAAGCACTTTTGGGATCTGAAAATAGAAAATGCTATGGATGTGCCAGATATAATGATCCTCTGACGGACCCATGCCTAACCAATCATAGATACCTCAACCGCTAAATGTAAAAAGGATATGGCACTTCCAGGTGAAGTACAAATATTATTTTTTTGAAAAATACAAGAGGTGTAACATCGTGTATACGGATCCTTCAAATACAGATAAGGAAGTAGGATGCTCGGTTCTAAATTCTTATACTAACAACTATTTAAACTTCCGGAGGTTTACTCAGTTTTCACGGGTTTAATGACAGCGATAAGAGAATTTCTTGAGGATATTGCTACGTGGCGTTTTTTTTATTTTATCGGAATGCCACTGGGTAATTATTGACGATAATTGTCCAGAATTAATTAATAAAATATTAGTTAAACAAATTATGTTATTTAACATATTGGTCCATGATTAATTTATTGAATTACTTCTCACAGAGGCTTGTTGTGTGTTTATCTGTTCTCTAATTACCAAACATTACCTGTGATTTTAATGATATCAATAGGTGGCATGATTAAAATAACTTTTATTTACAAATTATATTTATTTACAAATTATATAATAAAGATTGTATATATACATTATATTTACAAAAATTAATGATTAATGATCTAAACAATTGGTTGTAAAGGCATGATTCAGATGGATAGAATTTAAAATTTATATTGCCATTTTATATTTAAACATCTTTAAAAGGAATTGTTTGGAATTACTTATCTATTATGTTATGCGAAGTGGTGGATATCATGACTGCATCTGCGAGTCGAGATCATCATTGTTCAGGTAGGTCTCCAACAGTCATCCAGCCAGATAAAAACATCAGGGACCTCCTCAGGGCCAGGCAGCTACATCAGACCTCTATTCTATGCCGGGCAGTCGTATCCGGCTATAAGCCATAAGACTTCTTCTCTATGCCGGACAGTGGCGTAAGACCAAAAGATTTTTCTTCTATCCATCTCAGTAGATTTTATTCCAATATCTTGGATGGGGCAAGAATGGTTCCCACAGGTTCAATTTTTGTAGAAGAAGGGATGACCACACCCCCAGCGTTATGTTGAACACACCCCTTTTATCAGGTACACGACCGTTTCTTCTTATGCTTATACTTAAAAGCTTTCTGATCCTATTTAAACATAAGATTGGTCCTTTGGTATTTTTGGCCGACCTGTGTTCTATTGTCCCTGCTAAAAGGTTGCTAGGGGTTATCAGATATCCCGACCACTATCTAAGTAAGCACTTTCCCACGTAATTATGATGACGGTCCTTGGGTGTTCTAGCGGTGTCGATCCTTTGGGGTTCTTACGTGTTTTATTATCACTTACAAAAGGTTGGGTCGGGGGTCTCAGGTACCAGCCCAGGTTGATTTGATTTTTACTTTAAATATTATTAATCAATATCTGTGCAATAGGCTATATTCAATATATAGCAATATAGAGGCGACTGAAACTACCAATTGGACCGTGGTGACGGACTTGATGAGTACATTACTATCCATTGAAAATGGCAGGCCAAAAATTACAGAAGCGAAAGAAATATGAAACGGTTGGTGGCTGCTAAGGGAAAAGGGCAAACAAATAGTGTTTATCTGGACCGTTTTGCATGGCGTGATCACTGGAAATGAGCAGAGACCGACCAAGCAGCCAATATGGCAAGAAAGACTGGCATTACTCCGTTGATATAAATCACTGAAACCTCTTTAAAGGATAGCTTAAAAATAAGAAAGATTTGTGGAAAATGTGGCAAAATAACTGAGAGAAAATAGAGTCAAAATTAAGGGATATAAGAAATCACTGTTAAAAATGGGAAACCTCTTATAGATCCTACAGAAAAGAAGAGTTCTTGCATGTCTGCTTACTAACCTGTCTTCATCCTCTAACCTGCCAGAGCTGTAATGTCCAAAGAACAGTAAAACACGTTTTACAAGACTGCCCTAAACTGAAAAATGTCAGAAAAAAATGTAGATACGGCACCAATTCTAAAAGATATTAAAAAATTAGCATATCTTAAAGCGGTGAAACCTTATAATACAGTTTGATTTTAAGGTGTTGCCAATGACCCTGCAGGGTAGCGGCAACAAGAAAAACATTAAATTCCTAGCGTCGTAATTATAGATTGTGCTTAATAATACGAAATAATAAAGAAGATTTTGACTATCATTGATCGACAATGTAAAAATTATGATTTTTCTGATGGGTTAATTCCTGGAAGAAGTGTATGTTTCCATAAACAGCTACTAAATTTCTATAAGTCAATTGCAGATTACTAAAATGAACTATAGATGCTTTGATCTTCTTGACATAGAGGAGGGAGTATACTGCCATCCGTTCCCCACTTGCGTACCATTCTTCCCTCTCTGTTCTTATTATTTCTTAAGATTTCAAAGAGTTTTAGGCTGTTTTTAAGGGGGGGCTAACGCGTGTATGAAACTTGCATTGCTCAGCAACCCAGATGAACCAAATTTTAATGATTAAACAATTACTAGTTCGCATCTGTGTGCCAGAAGGGATTTTAACTCTGTTATTTGTCTCCAGCCCTCACTCTCTGGCCAGGAAAACAACCGTATAGCCCAAAAGGTAAGGAAGTAGTGAACAAAAAAAAAAAAAATTTTAAATTAAAATTCCAAAAATAAGTTCTGCGGAAGAAAAATGTAGACAATGATCATTGAAAAATGAAAGTGAAATAATATAACATAAATGTGTAGAGTAATCTAATCAAGCCAAGTTTGGTCAGGTCGGCTATTCGGTGACTGCTGAGTAGGAATGGGCCATTCCTGGAGGAAAGGTTCGTGGAACGGATTTCACCATCGGAACGGAACCGGACCGTAGGCGATTTCGTTCCGAAGGAAAGCAATATGAGTTCAGAAAATGAACGTCTTTAGGTTTCGATAGATAAGTGATCGGGAGAAGAATCAAAAATAGTTCGGAAGCAATTTGTAGAAATTAAAGAGAGCAGATTATCATAGAAGTGGATTAGAAAAATTGTGTAAAAACCACAACGACTACAAAAATCAACCTTAACGACTATATTTGATTTAGTTTTCTTAAATCACATCAAATTAGTTTAAATAAATGAATCATGAATATAATTTAATCCAAATCAATAATATAATTGAGCAATTGAGAACTTTTAAAAACCTCTATTAAAATAACAATGTTTAGATAAACGATAACAAACATAATTACTCGAGCTAAGTAATTTTAGCTTTTTTTTCCTAATCCTCCTTCATTTGAACTTTATTTAAAAAAATTATAATATACAAATATATTTCTTCTTGCTTGGTTCCTCTGTTGCCCGAGGGCATTTTAAGGAATGAAAATAGGTATGGGTAACAGTTGTGAGAGCAGTAGAAATAACTTTAGATTGCTAAATTGAAAATGTGATTTTTGTATGCAAATACAATTTCTCGGGAATGATTTAAGATTATTGAAAGTTTCATAAATCATTATGAATTACAAAACTTAAACTTCACATTTTACTTTACTTTTTTTA